TCCCTGCCAGAGTAAACAATAAAAGCTGAAAGTACCCCTCAGACTCAAGGAAGCTGAGCACAAAGAAAATTATGAGACAGACCATGTGGTAGTTTGAATAAGAATGGCCCCCACAGGTGCAGAGATTTGAATGCTTGGTCACCAGGGAGAGGGACTATTAGGAGGTGTGGCCAAGTTGGAGGAAGTTTATCACCAGGAGTGGGATTTAGGGGTTTCAGAAGCTGCAGGCACTGACTGACTTACTCTGGTCTCGTCCTGCTGCTTGTGGATGGAGAGGTGGAACTCTCAAGCTACTTTTCCAGCACCAAGTCTACCTCTAAGTTGCCATGTTCCAAATGGACTAAACCTCTGAACTGTAAGCAAGCACCAATTAAATACTTCCCTTTATAAACATTGCCATCATCATGGTGTCTCTTCACAGCAACAGACTACTAAGACAGAAGTTGGTACCAGGGACTGGGGTATTGCTGTGAAAGGCCTGACCCCACCACCCGAAGACAGTATTTTTCTGTGTAGCCCTGGCTTTTAGAGCACTTACTCTGTAGACCAGACTGGCCCTGGATGCAAGAGATTCTTCTGCCTCCACCTCCCAAGTCCTAAGATTAAAGGCATGTATCATCATCATCATCCTGACCATGCTTTGTCTGGACCCTTTAAACTTAAATGGGCCATGCTAGCAGGAGTATGGAAGATAATGTTTCTGAGGGGGATTTAATTGTGGGGGTTCAGCTCAAAAAGTTTCAGAGGGGAAGAATATTAATATATGGCCCAGAGACCATTCTTGTGATATTTTAGCAAAAATGTGGCTGCTTTTTATCCTTGTCTGAAAAATTTGCATGAGGCTGGGTAAATTGAAGAGTTTTGGATTAATGACATTGGCAGAGAAAATGTCAGGGGAGCCTAGTTGACACTGTTATTAGTGGTGACACTCTATAATGAAAAGAAATTAATCAAGGAAGACTACAAAATACACAGTTTGAGGAGAAAAGGGAGCACCAAGAAGTGTAACAGAGCTAAGTCCGGTGCACAAGGAGATAAAACGTTTAAAGCAAAGTTTGATCCTAAATGGACTAAAGCTCTGGAGTAGTGACCTCACAGAGAGACTTCACCCATCTAAGCTTCCAACTTGTGAAAAAGAATTAAAGAAAAACTTTAATTTAATTCTCCTCTACTCAGGAGGTAGAGGCAGATGGAGTTCTGAGTTTGAGGCCAGCCTGGTCTACAGAGTGAGTTCCAGGAAACCATCAAAAACAGAAAGCTGGTGAAAATGTATATGAACGAGGGGGCCGTGTTTCAGTCCTAGCAAGCAGAAGAACCTGGCAGCCTTGGCCACGTGGTTCTGGCATTAGAGTCAAGGACATAAAAAAGGAGTTGTGGAATCTCCCTGCATGCATAAGCTGCTGAGGTCAGGCACATGTCAGGGGTGTCCCAGCATGAAGACCCAGAGAGGTCACTACATGAAGCTGTGAAGATGAAGTCTGGATCGCCTTGGAGACCCCAATGTTGGAGATGCCAGAGCTGTGGGATACCTGTCAAGGATAGCTGCAGCCCAGGTATGACCAGCTCAGGAAAGAAAGGTGTATCACAATCAACAAAGCTGAATAGAGCTGGACATCTGAGGAGCACTTTGATATCAGACATGGAGATGAAGAATTTGGAGTTTGCCCTGTTGGTTTTTGGTCTTGTTTCAGCCCAGTATTTCCCCACTATGCTCCCTTTCCTCCCTTTTGGAATGGTAATGTATATTTTGTGCCATTGTATGTTGGAAGCATGTGATCTGCTTTTTGTTTTTTATTTTACAGTTAAGTGATTGCCCTGAGTTTCCAAAAGGACTCTGAACTTTGGGAGTTTTAAACAATGTTAAGACTGTTAGAGGCTGTGGGGATTTTTTAAGTTGGAGTCAATGAATTTTTGTGCTATGTTATAGCTGTAAGCCTATGGGGGCCAGGGAGTGGAATGTAGAGGTTTGAACAGGAATGGCTCCCATTGACTCATATATTTGAATGCTTGATTGAGGCAGTGGCACTATTACTAGGAAGTGTGGCCTTGTTGGAGGAAGTGTGTCACTGGGATTTTAAAGTGCTCAAACCAGGTCCAGTGTCTCCTTTTCTTCCTTCTGCCTACAGATCTGGATACGCTCCAGCACCAGTAGTGCCTGTATGCCACCATGTTTCCTGCCATGATGACAATGAACTAAACCTCTGGACTGAAACCAAGCCCCAATTAAATGCTTCCCTTTATAAGAGTTGCCATGGTCACAGTGTCTCTTCACAGCAATAGAAAATTCAGAAAGACCAGCTGCCTGGAAGAAACAGAAACCAACAGAACTGCCTGGAAGAGGTTTAGATTAACAAAGGTACCTGGGAAGGACACTCTTCTAATACATTGAGCTGCCTGTAGACTGTGTAGTGTATTCCAGGTTCCCAGCTCTGTGAGCTGTCAGTCATGTTAGGGTGGTCCTTGGTGATGCAACTGTCTTTGAGTCATTTCTGCTCCTGTAAGCAACCCTTTACCTATATTCCTGTAAGTAACCCCAATAAAACTCACGGTTAATGGTGGAATCTATACTTTGGTCCGTTATGAGTTCCCTATCTGGAGTTCCCAACATGTGTGTTGCATCTCCCCAAGAAAATTTTTCTTGTGTAACACCTCCATAACCATCTTCCTATCTAAGTCAATAAGCATTTGTGTCTTCCTAATATTCCATAAGCCTTGCACATTGACGTAGCATAGAAAAGAAATCCTCCCACATATAAGGACCCTAACCCTCCAGCAGACAGACTAATTAGGACTGCTCACCACTTTGTCAGGAGTATTAAGATAAAGGTCGACAATGTAGAGGATGCGCTCCTGCAGCATGTCCATGTTATCATCTGGGTACATTAGACGCATAAACTCAGGGTTCTCCAGAGTCTCTAGTGTCATCTGGCACAGAGAAGCCTGATTCTCTTTGGCAGCAACGTGCATGATATTGTACCGACATCCCTCCTAAAAAAAAGGACGAGCTTTGTGTTTGTTAAAACATTGAACTTCTTCAACGCAATGCCCATCAAAATCCCAGCAAAATTCTTCAAAGACCTCAAAAGAACGGTACTCAACTTCATTTGGAAAAGCAAAAAAGCCAGGATAGCCAAAACAAACCTATGCAATAAAAAGAACTTCTAGAGGCATCACAATCCCTGGCTTCAAACTCTACTACAGAGCTACAATACTGAAAACAGCTTGGTATTGGCATAAGAACAGACAGGAGGACCAATGGAACCAAATAGAAGACCCAGATACCAATCCACACATCTTCGAACACCTGATCTTTGATAAAGAAGCAAAAAATATCAAATGGGGAAAAAAAACATATTTAACAAGTGGTGCTGGCATAACTGGATATCAACATGTACAAAAATGAAAATAAGCCCATATCTATCACCATGTACAAAACTCAAGTCCGAATGGATCAAAGACCTCAACATAAAGCCAGCCACACTGAACCTTATAGAAGAGAAAGTGGGAAGTACACATTGGCACAGGAAACCACTTCCTAAATATAACCCCAGAAGCACAGACACTGAGACAAACAATTAGTAAGTGGGACCTCCTGAAACTGAAAAGCTTCTGTAAAGCAAAAGACACGGTCAACAAGACAAAACAACAGCCTACAGAATGGGAAAAGATCTTCACCAACCCTACATCAGACAGAGGTCTGATCTCCCAAATATACAAAGAACAAGAAATTGGTCATCAAAAGATCACATAATCCAATAAAAAAAATGCAGTACAGACCTAAACAGAGAACTCGCAACAGAGGAATCTAAGATGGCTGAAAGACACTCAAGGAAATGCTCAACATCCTTAGTCATCAGAGAAATGCAAATCAAAACAACTCTGAGATTCTATCTTACACCTGAAAGAATGGCCAAGATCAAAAACACTGATGACAACTTATGCTGGAGAGGATGTGGGGAAAAGGGAACACTTCTGCATTGATGGTGGGAATGCAATCTGGTACAACCCCTTTGGATGTCAGTGTGGTGATTTCTCAGAAAATTAGAAAACCACCTTCCTCAAGACCCAGCAATACCACTTTTGGGTATATATCCAAAGGACGATTAATTGTGCCACAAGGACATGTGCTCAACTATGTTCATAGCAGCTTTGTTTGTCATAGCCAGAACTTGGAAACAACCTAAATGCCCTTCGATCGAAGAATGGATAAAAAAAAAGTGGTACATTTACACAATGGAGTACTAAACAGCAGAAAAAAAATAATGACAGCTTGAATTTTGCAGGAAAATGGATGGAGCTAGAAAACATTATTTTGAGTGAGGTAACCCAGACACAGAAAGACAATTATCACACGTACTCACTCATAGGTGGTTTTTTAAACATAAAGCAAAGAAAGCCAGCCTACAAACCACAATCCCACAGAACTCAGACAACAATGCAGACACTAAGAAAGACTTACATAGATACAATCTACATGGGAAGTAGAAAGTATAAAAAGACAAGATCTCCTGAGTTAATTGGGAACATGGGGACCTTGGGGGAGGACTGATTGGAGAAGGGAGAGGCAGGGAGGGGAGCAGAGAAAAATGTAGAGCTCAATAAATATCAATAAAATAAAATTGAAAAAACAAAACAAAACATTGAACTTCATGTTTGTTAAAGTACAGGGCCACTGGTCAAGAATACAGTGACTGGTAATGGTGCTGAAGACATACTTACTTGTACAATGGTTGGGTTGTCCCCAGAACCAATTAGATATCGGGGATTATTCCAGATAAGATCAGAAAAGGTATCCTCATCCCCTTTCTCAACAGCTTTCCGAAGCTTAGCAGTGAGGTCCTGTGTGCGGGGACTTTTATAACTGTTTGCTCGTTCTTTATTTACTGTTTCTGATTCAGCCAGGCATGAATAATCTGCTATCAAGAGAGAGAATTATAGAACACAATCTCACAAATATTTTCTTCTCACTTAGTCTGCAGTTGGTGTGGGAGGTCCTTCTGTATATGTGCTGCTTTTACTGGTTAATGAATAAAGCTGCTGTTGGTCAGTGGCTTAAGAGAATATAGCCAGGCTGGAAGAGATTATCAAAGAGAAGTCACGTGGTTGCCTGCAGGAGACAGACGTGCTGGAACCTTGCTGGTAAGCCACAGCCACATGGAGATACATAGATTAAAGGTTCAGCAGCTCTTGGGAGTGATGGGTAAGAAATGATAATGGTATAAAGCACACCATAGTACTAATGCTCAATTGAGTGTTGAGCTCAATCAGGTGACTAAAGACTGAGATTAAGAATTATTTGGTGTACTTTTTTTTTTTTTTGCGCAACAGGGTCTCACTGTGTAGCTCAGGCTCAAACTCATAGAGCACATCTAACCTCATGTGCTTACTGAGTACTGATAGTAAGGACATGCACTATCATGTCTGGCCATTTAGTATACTTTGAAAGTAAGTCAAGAAACTGAGTGTGGTGGTACAAACCTAGCATCTTAGAACTCAGGAGGTTGAGACAGGAGGACTGCAAGTTCAAGGACAGCCTGGAGTAACAGGGTAAGACTCTTTTATCAAAAAAACTAAAAATGTCAATTCTGTTAAGTGAACAAGAAATTAGCAGCAACTGTAATTATCTCTTAGGAAAAAAAGTTCTACTCATAGCTTCTAAAACCTTAATCAAAACTTGAGAGTGTCTTTTTTTTTTTTTAAAGATTTATTTATTTATTATATATACAACATTCTGCCTCCATGTATGCCCACATGCCAGAGGAGGGTGCCAGATCTCAGTATAGATGGTTGTGAGCCACCATATGGTTGCTGGGAATTGAACTCAGGACCTCTGGAAGAGCAGCCAGTGCTCTTAACCGCTGAGCTATCTCTCCAGCCCCCTTGAGAGTGTCTTAAAACAATTTCCTGCACAGGCATTTTCTCAAGCTGAAAGAGAGAAATCTAAGTAGAGGCAGTAGACAGGCCCTCAAATGAAAGACAGCACTCTACCTCAGACAAATGTAGGGAGAGGGGATGGTCAAGGTCAAGCCTCTCCAAATCAGCTGCTGATTCTGAGGGACACAGCGGGTGTAGTCACATTTCTAGCTTTCATTGGGAGACTGATTCCTGCAGATCCCTTCTTGCAGAAGGTGTTCCCTTTGCTGTTTCTATGGTCCATATGCTAAGATTTGGCTCATCAGCTTCAGGGCCTACTAGCAGCAGACTACATTTGCCTTTATGTCCTGAAACCTTCCCAGGGCAGCCCCCTAGTCTCTTTCTCTTTGGTTATTTCATTGTAGGGCGCCTCAGCTCTCCCCCTCCTCCTCCACCATATTTATCTCACAGATGATGAAATATTGAAGTGCCACACATCAGGAAAGAGAACAATAGTGGTAAATCAAGTCATGACAAGACAAGTAGTACAACATGGTTTACCTTTTAACCCATCACTGCCATGGAGCGGCACTGCCTTCACAGGAGACAGTGAGGACACAGTTTTGTTAGGAGAAGGGAAATAATCACATACTCCTCTAGCAAATTTCTCAGCATCTTCTCTTGTTGGAAAAGCTTTAAATCGGGACCCTTTGATCAGTTTGACAGCTTGCAATGCTTCCTTTTTATCTTCGTAAACATGGATCCTTTCTAGGTATGAAAGTAACAAGGGAAAATTAAGAGATGAATAGTTTGAATACTATTAATTGTACTCAGAGTTCAACAGTCAATTTAAATTTGTTAATGAGTCTCTTGGTTTTACCCTCATGTTCAAAATCCAGATTTGCAATCTTTTATTAAAAATATTCTTTCAGGATAAAAAAAAAGTGTGTTTATGTGAGTGTGTATTTCTGTGACTATATGCACATAATTTATGTGCGAGTATCCTTGAAGGCCTAAAGAGAATCAGATCTCCTGGAGCTGGTATTATAGGCAGGTTATGAACCATCTAACATGTGAGCTGGGATATGCAAGACGATTATCAAGTACTCTTAATCACTGAGCCATCTTTCCACCCACTCTCAATTTTTTATCTTAAAGAGGTCCTGGGCTATCCAAAAGATTCAAATGAATACACTGACAATATATGTGTTTATATATAAGCAATGCTATCATACATGCATGTTAATTTCATACCACAAGCTACAATAACTTACTAAAAATGAATTTTAAGTGGGTTAAATAAAGATCTAAATATAAATAATTCAAAACTAAATTTACTATTCTTGTATTGGATATAATAGCTTATACCTATTATCCTAACATTCATAAGGAAAAGTCCGCGCAGTTAAGAGCTGAAGCCCACCCTAGGCTGTACAGCAAGATTCAGGTTAGTCTCAGTAAACAATAATCCTGACTAAATTAAAAAAAAAAAATTGCAATTCTTTTCTTTCTTTCATTCCTTTTTGGGGGCATGGTTTCATGTAGCCCAGGCTAGTATCTACCCAAGTGCTGAGGTAATAATAGTTATGTGCCACCACATCAGGCTTTTATGGTGCTGGGTATTAACACAGTGCTCCATGCACAATAGGCAAATGCTCTCCTAACTAAAACAGATCTCCAGCCCTAATATACAATTCCTTGAGATTGAAAATTATTTATACACTCACTGGAACATTTACAGTTACGAACCTAAAAGCTGTTCAGGTTGTAATGAATTTAAGAGGGAGAGGGAATGCCCGGGCACACGCCTTTAGTCCCAGCACTTGGAAGGCAGAGGCAGAGGATCTCTGAGTTCAAAACCAGTCTGACTTACAGAGTGAGTGCCAGAAATTCAGGGCTACAAAGAGAAATTGTCTTGAAAAACAAACAAACAAATAAATGAGTGATATAAGCAAGCATATTTTTCCAGGATAGCAAGGGCTACAGAGAGAAACCGTGTCTCAGGGGGTGGGAAAAAGGGAGAGGGAAGATGATTAACCAGTAAAATTACTAACAAATGGAAGTGATCCAATCATTTCCAAGTCAAATCTATCTAACAGAATAGTTTTCCTAGTAACTTTTAAAAAAAAAAAAGTATTGCTTAGATTTACCAAACTCAAAAAAAAATCAGAGGGTAACAAGTACAAATAATGAAATTTATCTTGGGTGATGAGATTATGTCTTCCCAGTCTGTGTGAGGAGACACAGCACAGCACGTTACCATTTCTCATAAGGCCATCCTCATATACTGGACACACGCCATAGTACAGAAGTGGCTCCTTAGCAGCTGTCATTCCAGCCTGGTGGTTGTCATTCCTGGCAGAAGCACTGAAGGATATTGGGTGGGACTTAGATGTTACAGCTTCATCCTCTGGAGGGTTCAAGCCCACACTGTAACCAAAATCTCTGTCTTCAGAAAAACTGGCCTGCTGAGTTTGTTTCTCTTCCACAGATGCAGGAGTCCTTAGGGTGCCCTGGATATATGGAGTGGCAGTCACCTCACTGTGATTGGGAAGAGAGGAAGTCAGCAATCCACCTTGCTCTAGTAAAGCCTGAGCTAATTTCTTCTCAAAAATAAATCTTGTTGTTGATGTAATGGGTCCACATTTCAATCCAGCTTTTATAACTTCCTTTCTAAGGTCATCTGGATTCAGGAGTTTCAATCGTGCCAACATGGCATCCATTGTCACTTCACCTACGTTCAAAAAAGCAAAAATTAACTTGAACCATGGAATCGTAGCTCATGTAAACCACATGCTTAAGCAAGTGCCAGCTTCCTCACAGGACCCTACCTTAGATACAATTAGTATTCTTATTCTAAACCTACTGTTTCTTTTTACCTTTAGTTGTTCAAGGAAGGTTTTGTCTCTGCAATTAACAAACATAAACAGAACTTCATACATTATTAACTTCAATCCTAGGCTGATTATTAAAACTCTAAGCCTCAGTTTCCTCACCTACAAAATGGATATAATAATAGATCCACTCTGGTAATAATGAAAAGTAGATAAAATAATGAACATAAATTCTGTACCACTTGGTCTGACACTGATAACGGAGAAACCAATGACTCCTAAGGAAGTGCTGAGATGTACTTCACTTGCCAATACACACCAGGCTTTTTGTTTTCTTCCCCGCACTGCTAAATAAATAAAAAATGAAGTTGTATGTAAGTTCAAAGAGGCAAGTGAAGCCTCAGTTACTCCTAAGAACTTCTTAGGGTTCTGCTGTGCAATTAACTGTTTAAAATGTCATCTTCCTTCTAGAATTCGTGGGGAATTACTATTTATCCTCCACTAAGAACTAGACTCAAGTGTTAATGAAACACAGCTTCTGATGAACACAAACCGGCTAAGCATTGGGAGTTCAGGGAGGTGGAGGGCTGAGAAGAAAGAAGCACAGAGGTGTGGACTCACACCAGCAAATTCCAAAACAACCAAAAAGACCACAGGATCCTACGAAACAGCCAACCTTAGAGTGTACGGATGAACTCTGTTGAAGACTCCGGGTTTTATCCCAGCCCTTTCCCCAGAACTGAGACATGCACCACCTCAACAACTCTCAGATGGATGATGCCAGTAGGTAGTAGGGTTCAATTCCCAGCAACTAGTGTATTACTCTCAAAAAAAAAAAAACAAAAAAAACCCCCAAAACAGTAAGAACTATTATTATTCGTATGCTGCTAATGGTGGGGCTGAAAAATAGCGGGTGAATGACCTGCCCATTTCTGAGAAGTTCCATAGCAGCAGTGGTAGAGTCAGGAGCAGATGGGACATGATTTCATTCCGGACACCAGTCACCTCGATCTTAAAGTGACCAGCAACCATCCTCCCATCTCTCCTCATCCAGACCTAACAGTCCATTCGAAAGAAATTAATGAGAGCCGTATTCCTTTATTTCCCCGATCCCCAAATCAGGGAGTCACACCTAACTTCACTACCTCCTCCTATCACTTATTTCGTTAAACTTCAAACCACTGCCAGAACCAACTTCCTCTTTCTTCGACTTCCGACTTTCACCAGTGTTTACTGTTCCCCCTTCCCGCAGCTCTTGCCAGGCCTCCCTGGCGCAGAAGACCCTTCCCCTGGAAGCCCCAGACGCGCCCTGGCAGCCGGATCTCCAAGGATCTCACCTACAGGGTCAGGAACGCTCCTACAATGGTACAAAAGTTCCGCTTCTCAGTCAGCCTTCCCGCCAGGGGACTCGGGTCCTACTGTGTCCACGGGGAGGGCAGAGAGAAGCTTGCTCCCACTGCCGAATGCGACCTTACCTGGCTGAGGGGCCACAGCTGCAGACGCGCCGGTCGGCGAGGAGGGTGTCCCGCGACGACTCAGGTCCTGCGGCCGCTTCTCTAGCCGCCGGACCAGCCAGCGCACGGCGATGAGCAGCACCGAGGCGCCGAGGAGCTCCCAGGCTAACGCCGCCCACTCAACCACAGCCAACCGCTGCCACAGCATCGCCACCGTCGACGTCGCGGCCTTGAGCGCGGCCGCCGGAGTTAGAATCCGCGCCGCGCACGCCTCGGGCCCTCACTAGGCCGCTCGCTTCGCTGCCGGAGCCGCGCGGGCCGCTAGGTTCGCTGCCTCCGCCCCGCCGCGGGGTTACAGGAGTCGTAGTCAGACAGGAAAAGATGAGGCGGGGTGCGCGTGCAGTGTGGTGTCTTCGGTTTCCCGAAAGAGCCAGAACGTTGCCAGGAACCCAGCTTCAGGCTGCTTTGGAGGCAACCGGGGTCCTGATTCAAGAGAGACGCCGTCCGGCAGTGGCGCGGACAGCATGTCGGGGTCCTGAGTCGGACTCGGCGCTCTGGCTGGGCGCAGTTTGCTCTTCCAAGCGGTAGGCGCTTGGCCTTGAGTTGCTTCTTCACCACACGTCTAAACACCTGGGCCACCCAGACTGTGGCCAGAGGAGCCGGTCAGACAGGTAGGTACTGGGGTCCAAAACGGTGGCCAAGTTTAGAAGCTGTTTCTCTGGAGAAACAGACCGTCCCCACAAAATGCCCATGCCGTTTTCGTCACGCTAAAGCCTCCCCAGTACTGGGATTAAAGATATGCGCCACCATGCCCGAATGCTAATTGCTGGTCCTTTTCTCATTTTTTTTGAGCCTTGCTATAGAGATCTTCCTGCTTGAGCCTATAGAATGTTGAGATTACATGCATATGTCACCATAATTTTACTTCTGACCACAAAACACAAGGGCACCGAATACGATGACATCCCGTGTTGGTGTAACGGCTTCTCACATGTACTTTGAGCGTTCTTCAGTAAGAAAGGTGTAGGTTGCTTGTTTGGGGAATTAGAAGGCGGCAGAGTGGAGGGGCGAGGCGGGAATGCCTTTTCTGTCCAAATGTGCATCCTGCTTTCCTGCCAGTGAGGTCTTGACCGTAAAACCAGTTCTCAATATCAGAAAGTGGTGGCCCGAGGAATGCCCTAGAAAGGCTTGAGCGAAGACCAGCAGGTTATGATGCTGAATCGATTTACAAGCTGGCCAAACTTCGAATGTACACCATTCAGGTCATGTCTTCAGTTAAAGATATTACTCCTCAAGACAGACTCAGGGAAGCCTACTGAACTAGATCCAAAACAAAAACCCAACCAGATGACTGAGAAATGCTGATATGAATTTCCAATGGTTTTTACAGCCCCAGGATTTATAAGGCAAATTTAGATATGTTCAATTAAGCAGGGCGTGGTGGTGCACATTTTTAATCCCAGCACTTGGGAGGCAGAAGTAAGCAGATATCAGACTTCAAGGCCACCCTGGTCTACGGAGTGAGGTCAAGGACATCCAGGATTACACAGAGAAACCCTGTATCCAAAAAAAAAAAAAAAAAAAAAAAACCAAAATAAATGAAAATTGTAGGCCGAGGGAGATGGGTAAAGTAGTAGTATTTCTTCAAGGAACAGGCCCAGGGAATATATCCTAGAATAGTGGAGACTAACTTTTGATGTTTTGTTTTTTGCTTTATTATTGTGTTTATTTAAAAAGACTGTTGTTTACTAAGACTGTTAGAAGCTTTGTGTAGTGGCTAACACATTTACTTAACACTAAGATCAGCCTGTCTCAAAAAATCAAAGACTTACCAGAAGTATACTGTACTTGTGGCTCTCTAGCCATATATTAAGATAGATACAGATGGTCTCCTAGAAAACAGCCTATGGCAGAGAATTCAGTAGAAAAAATTGGGAACAACAGCGAGGAGCCTGAGATTCTCAGATAGGGACTGCGTAGTTCCATATAATTAAGCTGGGAAAGCAGCAGGTCAGGAATTCTGGGTTAAGGGTTATAGCTAAGCCAACAACAGGCTGGCCCAGCAGGTTGAGGAAGGTCTGGATTTATTTTCAGAATGATAAGGCATTAAGTGTTGAGAAGTAGATTTTGACCTGCCTGATGGAGGTAGTGCAGTTATGCAAAGGTGGACAGAGGGTAGATGAATGAATATTTAATGCTCAGAAAACTTCATGTGAGGTGAGGTGTATAAGGCAAGGCTACCACTCCATAGTTAAACTACCATAGTCTATTCATATAGAAGACATGACTATTTTATTATCCTGACCCAGATTATATGTAAGCAAAGTCTACAAAACACCTCCTGCAGATACCTATCTGAAAGAGGGACAAAATATGTTTATCCATGACTCTATCCAGAGAGCTGCCCCCATCCTAGGAGCAGCTGGAGCTCCAACTCCAGGGAAGAAAAGCACTTCCTTAATCTAGGCTGCCCAAACTGCAGCCCAGTAGGTGCCATCTTCACATCTAACTAGTTCAACTATGGAAAAACACAAAAGGCTTGTGAAGGTGGTATGAGTGACTCTTCTCTGAACCACTATTTTTGGGAGTTAAGCTGTGCCCCTTGTAAAAGGCTTTTATCCCAGCTGGGTTTCCTGTTTATATCCTCTCATGAAAAGCTGCTCCCTACCAGCTGTTGTATTTGGAGAGGCTAGAGTATAAAGCTAGGGCAGACTAGGAGAGGTGCTCTATGTATGTATGCTATTACAGAGAAGCCTTCATCCTTTCAGGTTTACCCACATTCCTGTACTCTGTAAAGAAAAGAATCTCAGTAAACTTGTTGGTTCCCCAGAATGAACTTACATTGTTGTTTACATCTTCCCAGGAAGAAACTTTAGCAACAGGTCACCATCTAGTGTTTTGGGAGCCACATTCATGCTATCTATTTTAAGGGCCATGAGGACAGAGATGCAGGTTATATAAAGGTAGACAGAGAGTAGTGAATGGCACAGAGTCTTCTCTATTTAGGCTTGGGGACTCTCTGAGACTATCATGGTTACCCACTGTGGTGATTTGAATGGGAATGGCCCCCACAGACTTAGATTCAGAAGGAGTGGCATTATTGGAGGTGTGACCTTGTTGGGAGGAAGTATGTCCCAGGGATGGGCTCTGAGGTTTCAGATGCTCAAGGCAGGCCCAGTGTCATTCTGTTTCTGCTGCCTGTTGATCCAGATGTAGCTACCTCTCCAGAACCATATCTGCCTGTGTGCTGCCATGCTTCTCACCATGGACTAAACCTCTGAACTGTAAGCCAGCACCAATTAAATGTCTTTTTATTATCTATTATTTATATTTATTATCTATTATTATCTATCTGTTTATTTATTTATTTGGGTTTTTAGAGACAAGAGTTTCTTAGTGGTTTTGATACCTGTCTTAGAACTAGCTCTTGTAGACTAGACTGGCCTCGAACTCACAGAGATCCATCTACCTCCCAAGTGCTGGATTAAAGGCATGTGCCAACATTGCCCAGCTTTTTTTTTTTTTTTAAAAATAAGAATTTGCTGTAGTCATGGTGTCTCTTCACAGCAATAGAAACCCAAACTAAGGCACCCATCATGGATGGCAGGGGTGTTAAATAACCCATTTTATAGTTCCCTCATACTTTGCTTCCTAATACTGCATGAGCTATCAGGTTTCTGAGTACCTTAGTGATTTAAATACTGAGGTTCCCAAATCCTTCTCCTTTTCCATCTTGATTTAAACTGTGTGGCTTATTAATAACATTGGGCCAGGATAATGCAGTGATCAAAAAAAAGTGACTAAAACAAATTGTTTGAGGTATGAAAATTAACCCAGCAGAGACTAGTCAGCTGAAGAGCATAGAGTAGACAGGCCTTCCTCTGCTCCCTGCACACGCTTTTGCATGTGTGCTGCTCCCTCATGGTGATGGTGGATGCAGCACAATGAAGGTCAGCACGCTACTTCTGCTGGTCTGACACAAGGAGTGAATCTTTCTACCTTACTTTAAACTTTGGTAGAACACATTACCTTTTAAAATGTTGTGAAACAACATGAGATAAAAAAGAGCTACTCCCAAATATGACCAAGTGCTAGTACTAAAAATAAAGCCCTTCCAAGTGAAATATGAAAACCTTTACCAAAAATAGTTTATTGCATAAAATGTAAGAAATTCGTGAGCACGCTTATATTTTTTTAAAAAAGAAGCAAAACAACAACAACAAAAAAAAACCCAAATCAACATGCCTTTTAAAGTTACAGTCTGTTACCTACGACAGTTTTCCCTGGAAAAGTCCCAACATGAAGATTGATTCTCTTGTGAGGAAATTTTTTATAGAAATGAGAAACTCAAAAACCACTGAAATTTTGGACCCTCTAAATTGGACATCAACCCAAGGATCCTGATAGAACCTAAGACTACTATAGAATAGATTTGGCTAGAATTCCAAACCACTGAGCATGTTAGGGTAAGACTCAGGACATCTCATACCATTCTTATCACTGAGGTCCTTGGAAGTCTCTAAGACTTTTTCTTTTCAAATATGATGTTTACTTTCACTCCCAGAATCTTCACTTGTTACTTTTTGTTTCAAGATATATGAAAATATATGTCATGGTGATCCTGTAGGCCTCTGGCTTTTACAATAATCCACACACTAGGACAAGTTACATTTTGAAATGAAGAAAGAATTTAACATAAGCTTTCTGATACATACACTAAGATTACTTTCTGAGAGGGCAGGTCCTGTTCCCTATACCCCAAACCCAAGTAAATTCACATCTTCTCAAAATCATTGCCTGCTACACAGTATAAAATACTAAGATCATGGCACCAATCTGACGAGTACTATTAAAAAAAATGGAAATCTCTTGGCAGTTTTTTTGAACATAAGAGAAATAAGTAATATTATAAAGCATGCAAGCCAAGATGTCAGCTATAGGACATATAGCATATGTGATATATGCATAAATGTTATGCAGTGGTAAGCCTGCTTTAGAAAGCAATCCTCAAAGTGACTGCAGTTTTTCATGAGTAAACCTAAAATTCCAAGTTTTGACTACACAGGCAACAGTAACTCAAGCTGTATTTACCCAAGAAGAAACTCTGGGAGATAAAATACAGTGAAGTCCCTTGAAAATAAGAGGAAAAAAACAAAACCGACCAACCAATCAAAACATTCATAGCAAATTTGAAAATTCAACTTCAAGGTGACTGACTACGGGAACCCTAAGACAATGCCAGCTCCAATCTAAGAGATCTCTGAACCATAAATGTGAGGAAAAGACACATTGATGCATAAAAATGGACAAAAAAATGGAGCCAAGACATGCCAGACTTCCATGGAACCAAGAGGGACCTGACCAAGGACCTGCAAGGTAGACAACAAAGCCTAGAGGAAGTGCCATTTCTGAGGATGTACATGGGACATCAAAACAGTGGAAGAAATAGGTGAAGACATGAAAGCAACTTTCACTTGAATGAGTTCAGAATTAGCATATTCTTTCCTCGTGACTTCTTAAAGACCTCTCCACACAGGAGAAAATAACTATGCTGTAGAGTAAGCCCAACCCAAGTATTATTTCTTGGTTTTGAAATTTAAAATACAAAATAAATAAAAATGTAAATTACCACCCTTTCCTAGTTTCTAACTTAAAGAGGGTATGTTTATATGTAATGTTTTCAAGCTTATTTTTATTTTTTAAAGATTAACCCTGTACAAATTCTATATACATTGTAAAAGGTACAATACTTGTTAGGGAATATTTTTCAAACACCAGACATCATTGTGATTAGTTCTACTTTAATCATACCAGTTAATCTCCTAATAGGATATTACAACAGAACAACTCATTCTCCACAAATTAGACAAGAAACCCAATAAGAGACACCTACGTGGGCTGATCACTAATGCTCAGAACTTCCTTTTTCAGACTTTTCTCTCCCTTCTAACTTAATATTTCAAATCATTTTTTTGTTCCATCTTTGGTTTCATGTAACCGAGCTTCAAACTTGCTATGTAGCTGAAAACTGGTCTTGAACTGATCCTTCTCCTGATTCTACCTCCCAAGTGATTACAGTCATGAATTACAAAACCCACTTTATTTTAAACTTTCTTCGTGGGCTTTCACAAAGATTAAAGACTTCAACACTTCTAGTCAGTATACGAAGCATTAGTATATGGTTTGGGAAGCAGATGGCAATAAATCACATATTTAGTGCTAACTTTAAACAATGTTTCTGTCTCTGAACCTTCTGTCTTTCAGACCACAGCTGCCCACCTTCTCCCAGATATTCTGATTCCTAGTAGTACTGGTGTTTAATAGAAGTCCAGGGTAGTTCCTAATGACCATACTGACAGATATTCACAGTGCCCCATTAATACCCTCTTTAGGACACAATGGATACAGCCTATAACCCACACACAGACCTAGGTTGCCTTGTCTCCTGCTCTTTTCCTGGGCTCGCTAAATGTCAAGTCAGTATGAGGAGACCTTGGAGATCTTCCATCCCCTGCTAATTCAAGACCTGACTGGTCCTGCCTGTTGGTAAGCCAAAGTGAGTGGAACCACAGACCTGAGAGGTCAGTGTTAAGAATTCAAAGAGATGTTGACAGGAAAGACCCCTAGAAATAAAAAGATTAACACAATTCTTTCTGTGCAAGAGTATTTGGTTTTAGGATGCATAGAAAATAAGTTATATTTCTTAAAATACATTTTTTTACTGACATCCCTAAAGCTACATGTATACTGTTTCTCAATATTAAATTTTCAAAAGGCAATCAGTAAGACAATTAGGTCTTTAAATAATACAGGCATATGCCTTTTTAAAAGACTTTCAATATTTACATATACATCCTTTATAGGTAGGATGGTTTGAAAAACAAATGAAATAAAAACAAAAAGTTCAAATAAAAATTTATGTAGGAAAGTAAAGGTCTTAATGAGTGAAACAGTAAAGACCTCTATGTACTGGTGCCTATTGAGCCCACTCTGTATATAGTGCCTGATAAGAACAGGTTCCTGGCAACACCCTTAAGTGTGTCTATAGCCACACATAAGATCCTTCCTTCTGCAAGTAACTGTTCAAACAGACATTCAGATCTCACCAGTGATCCAAACTCTGAGACTTGATCATTTCACACAGGAAAAGCTAGTTGTTTAAAATAACTATTTCTTTAATCCTTGCCTCATTGTTATTTTAATTCTTGATAAAACGCAAAGAGGAATTTAAATCTCATCTCTTAAAAAACCACCAGAGCACACAATCAAATAAATAATATTGACAAAAGAATATTCCTTCAGCAGGCACAAATACGTGGTGATGAGAACAAGTAGTCATTGGCCCAGCCCTTCTCTGGGAACATTGTTTTGACTCTGTGGTTTTGTGTCTCCCTTGGGATGGGCATGCTCTGCTGGGGTAGCTTCCACCTGAGTCCACGAGGACAGAGACTCATGCACAGTGATGGTATGCTCCTCCATCTGGCGCTGCAGACTGTCCATTTCCTGCCTGGGGATATGAGAGAAGGCAGAAGAAGAAACTCTAAGTTATACAAGGACCACTAGCTACAGTGGGCTTTACCACACATGTGGTTCCCTTAAAGTCCAATCAGCAAAATCATCTGGAGTTAAAGAAGGCAAAAGCTCCTGGCATTCCCTCCCCCACTCTCTCTAGGCATAAGCCAGCAAACACTATAACATAGGTTTCTGTTTTCTGAGAGGTGCTTCTGTGAGAAACATGAGCAAGACATGAACCCCTGATGCTAACCAAGTTGCTATCTAGAAGCCATCATGTAAGGCCACTGTCACTTGTGATTTCCCCTTATAAAATCACCTGCCTGTTAGGGTCCTATGTGCTATATATAACCCATGATGGTCTTTTCTGTCCTAAGTTAGGAGGCTCAGCCTATAGGGTACAGGTGTAGCACCTGACCTTTTAAGGGCCCACCAAAATAGTTTACTTAGCTATTTTCACTTTACAACATGGACCCTAGAAGCTCTGCCAGTAAAAAGCTTTTACTTCACAAGAGTTTCAAAGAAATAGGCACTCTATAAACAACAGGAAAAACACGTCATGTCTAAAGGCTGAACAAAATGGGGCATAGAAAACATACTTGAGCTGCTGCAAACAGCTGTTGAGATTCTTGAGGGGTTCCTTGCTCACAGCAGGTGGTGGCCTCAGCAGCTCCTCTATCAGTGAGGCTGGGACAGGACAGTCTGGTATCTTGATGGGTGTTGCAGGGCTGGAGGAGTTGGACTCACCTTTTGGTTCTTTCTTCTGTTTGTAAAAGCACATCATTAGCCTCTCTACAGCCCTTCCTTATTCTCCACCACAACTAACCTTCCCCGAGCCATGTCCCCCTGCTGAAAAGAGGACTAACTGCTAGATTTTTATAAAGAGAGTCTGATAGTAAATGGGTTAAGAAAAACTAACTAGTCCAGTAATCCTAATGCACATAAGTACAAACCATTTGTGCCAGCCCTCAGGAGAAATAACTAAACACTGCATTAGAGCTCTCTTATAGGAGTCTCCTGAAATACAAGCCTATACTTTGAGCTAACCTAAGAAATTTGGCAATATTTATGTAGATTGTGCCAAGAAAAGAAAAGAAAGTCTGCCAGGTATTTGAACCCTCCAGCAGAATTGACAATAGCATGAGGTTCCCACCTGAGCCCATCCTGAAGCTACCTGTGTTCCATGATGGCGGCACAGCAAGGCTGTATGTTTATTAGTATAAAATAGTATTAAAACAAGATATGTATATTCAAGAAGAGAAATAAATATTCTGTTAGAAAAAACACCAAAACAAAATGTTCTGGCTCACTTTCCAAGCAGACTTCTCTGATGTATTAGTTGATCTGTGAATGACTAGAAAACCTATCAATCTGCCCAAACAAATTTAAATGAAATAAACAGTTAACCTGTAAGGAATGTAACCTAATCCTACCTTGGCTGCAGCACGGCGAAGATCCAGCTTGAGCTGTTGGTTCTGCTGCAGAAGAGTTTTCATGTTGTTCTTCAGTTCAGACACTTTGGCTTGAAGCATAAACTTATCCTTCTGGGTCTCTGACAGATCTTCCTGTACCATTTCCAACTCAGATTTGATAGTCTAAGAAAAATGATCAGATTCTTTTTTTTTTCAAGCTAAAATGTCTTAAATACCTGACAGTGAGTGGCACATGCTAATAACCCCAGCACTGGTGAAGCTCAGGAGGCTCAACACCAACCAGATTTAGCCACATAGAAGGTGTGGGTCAGCTTGGCCTGTCTCAAAAAAACAAGCATCTTAGCCTGGTGGTGGTGATGCATGCTTTTAATCCCAGCACTCTGGATGCAGAGGCAGGCTGATCTCTAAATTCAAGGTCAGCCTGGTCTATAGAGTTGAGTTCCAGGACAGCCAAAGCTACACAAAGAAACCTTGTCTCAAAACACAAGCAAAATAAAAACAGTTTCCAGCACCACATGGATGTTAATTTGTCAGTTTTGAGGACTTAGTTTTTGTTGGGATGAGTTATGTTTTCATCTCAGTAATTTCCTCTATAGTTAACCTAGCCACCAACAAATTCATTAGAAGCGGGGCTGTAGAGATGGCTCAGCAGTTAAGAGCATTGCCTGCTCTTCCAAAGGTCTTGAGTTCAATTCCCAGCAACCACATGGTGGCTCACAACCATCTGAAATGAGGTCTGGTGCCCTCTTCTGGCCTTCAGGCATACACGCAGAAAGAATATTGTATACATAATAAATAAATAAATATTAAAAAAAAAGACTCTTTAAAAAAAAATTCATTAGAAGCAAACTCTTGACTTTAAAAAATAATTATTCTATTCTTAATTATGTGTGTCTGTGTGGGTTATGTGCACATGAGTGCAGGTGCCTATGGAAGCCAGAGGAAAGAGCTGGATTTGCTGGAGCTAGAGTTACATTTGGTTGTGAACTGCCCCATGTGGTGCTGAAAACTGAATTGAATCCTCTGGAAAAATAAAAAAAAGCTTTCAATTGCTGAGCTGTCTCTCTAGTTCCAACTCCTAACACTATTTTTAGATTGACTGATTGGTTGATTTATGTGTGAGTGCTTATGTGTGTTTATGCGAACATGTCAGAGCCTTCAGAGGTCAAAAGAGGGTGTTGGCCTTTCTGGAGCTGCTCTGTGAGTGCTGGGAACCAAAATCCAGGTCCTCTGCAAGAGCAGTAAATGATGCTAAGCATCACTTCAATACTCTTGACACTTAACATAGAGCCTTTTCCAAGCAGCAATATCTGCATGGCCAAAGTTAACCCCAAGGATCTTTAAATTCTAAAGTCCACTATTAGACTAAGTCAAACCATTCCTAAGAAATAGTATAAGCCAATCTAATAATTTGAGCCTTTTGGGGGTGGGCGGGGGTTCAAGACAAGGTTTCTTTATGTAGCCCTGGCTGTCCTGGAACTTATCTGTGGATCAGGGTATCCTCAAACTCAGAGAGTCCACCTCTCCCTCTCAAGTGCTGGGATTAAAGGTGTGTGCTTTTCTTCCTTCCTTTTTTTTTTTTTTTTTTAACAGGTAAGTAATATTAGCAAGTTATGTTTCTGGTCCTTTCCCTCAGCAGAAAAGACTATTCATTTGAGCCTTTGTGGAGAAGTTGATCATAAACAC